ATAGAATAGAATAGAATAGAATAGAATAGAATAGAATAGAATAGAATAGAATAGAATAGAATAGAATAGAATTCTTTATTGGCCAAGTGTGGTTGGACACACAAGAAATTTGTCTTGGTGCAAATGCTCTCAGTGTACATAAAAGAAAAGATACATTTGTCAAGAATCATAAAGTACAACACTTAACGATAGTCATAGGGTACAATAAGCAATCAAATCATACTAGGAAAGCATTGACACTGCTTATCAGAAGATTGCAAAAGATGATCACATGACCCCAGGACATTGCAACTGCCATAAACATATAGGTAGTCTTACAACAGGCCAAAAACTGACGTATGGCCATTTTTCACACTTGACTGTTGCAGTATTCTCATGGTCATGTGATTTACATTTGGATGCTTGACAACTGGTTCATATTTACGATGGTTGCAGTGCCCTGGGGTCACATGATTCCCTTTTGCGACTTTCTGACAAATCAATGAGGAAGGCAGATTCACTTAACAACCGTTACTAATTTAACAACTGCCATGATTCGCTTACCAAATGGGGCAAGAAAAGTCATAAAATGGGGCAAAACTCACTTAACAAATTTTTCACTTAGCAACATAAATACTGGGCTCAATTGTGGTCATAAGTCGAGGACTACTACCTGTATTCAGTTGTCAAGCATCTGAATTTTGGTCACATGGCTATGGGAATGCTGCAATGGTCAACAGTGTGAATATTTGTCATAAGTCACTTGTGATAGTGGGCCATTGTAACTTTGAATGGTCACTAAATGTTGTTAAATCGAGCATTATCTGTATAAGCCACACTATAATCTTGCGTAAAGATAAAATTAAGTCCATTCTTTATAAATATTAATTAGAAAGGAGCATGCAGAAGTTTTAAATTTTTTTCCCCAGGACCACAGATTGCATACATTTTAATACATTCAAGTAATAAACTCCAGTACATCAAGAGTCTCGTTTGTAAATGATTATCCCTACTGAAGATCTTCAAATGCAGTGACAGTCTAAATATGGAGTATTATGAAATGAGTAATTGCTTCTTGTATCCTTTAGGAAAAGAATACACGCAGGCATTAAACCAATCAGATTGAAGCTTCTGTATTTCCTTCTTTCGAAGTGTAGTGACTTGGCACCAAACGGCCAATCATAATCTGAGATGTGTACATATGGAAAGAAATTTGTAAGAGGTATGGACAAGATGAGAACAAAAAATAACCTCAGCAAGTATTCTTTTGAATGATTCCTTTGGCATTATTGAATAAGTGGGTCAAATGGAAAAATCTAAAGAATGTTTATTATCTAACCTGAGAGCTGTTTTAAAATATTTTCAAGTAGAAAAATATCATAAAATTTTATAATAAAGGAGGTTTTTTTTCCTTGTTCTATTGTGATTCCCACATTTATCACAAATTTCCTAAAATATTCATTTTTTAAAAAATAGACTACAGAATGTAGTTGTATTTCATACATATTCATATAACATTTGTTTTATTAATTAAGATTTTTATGTCAGCTAGAAGCCACATTAATTTTATAGTGTTACAAGCTGATACCAATACATAATCCAGTTCTCATTCCATACAGGTATATTCTTTACACAATGTTGTTATCTCATGCTAATATTGTTTGCCTGCAATATTAATTATGTGCAGGAAGTTTGACTTTGGCCATATTTTAAATTAGGGATTAAAAAGAGTTGTCAAGTAGTATTTTATTTTTACAAATATTAATCCTATATGTTTACTCTGGCATATATTAGCTCTATACATGCTTATTCAGGCATATATTTATTTAATTTCATCCCCCCCATGTATAATATTACAAATCAGGCAACTTTATGGAGGTCTGTCTTGCATAATATTGTTATTTTTAAGTATTAATGTGGAGTTTAGAGGCTATGTTTGCCTAAATAGAATAACATACAATATTGAATTTTCAGATTAATTTTCAGAAATATAATATAGACTTTATTTTAAATTTAATAAAAACAATTAATTTATACACTCAATTATGAAATCTTTAGAAGTAAACATGTATATCTTGTTTTTAGTTTTGTCTATCTGTCCTGAGAGAAAAGGTTGTTAACTGATACTAATAACTTATTTAAATCAATCATATGTCTTCAAAACCTGAATATACAAATGACAATCTGTTTCCCTCTTTTTCTTGTATATAATTTTTACTAGGAATTTTTGAATGGTACTTATAGATACGTTAAACATATATTACATTTATACTAATCATACATACATATGTTTAGTATGTATTATTTAATTATTTGCTAAACAAGCTGGAAAAATGCATTTTGATCAATATTTTAATGCTATACTTGTGTTACTTCATATCTTTTCCTTTGTTTTTGTTTAGCTTTCCATGAGTAAATTCGGTGCTTTTTTTCCTCTGTACTATTTGCAAGAGTTCAGTGATCTTGCATTTGCATTCCAGCCACACATATTTGTGCAATTTTCCAGTAATTTACCACCAGGGGTGGGATCTGACCAGTGTAACTACCGGTTCAGTGATGTTATACTGCGCACGTGTGTATATCATCGTCATCTAGCTGACTGGACAGCTGAGCAGCACTGCACGTGGGTGCGCAGCAGTTGAAAAAGCACTTTTTTCCTGCTTTTTCAACCGCAGCTGTGTCATGCAAAGCAGCTGCGGTTAAAAACGCAGGAAATAAAGATCAGGTAAGAGCCCAGGCAGGCAGGTGGGCCAAAACAGCAGCAGACATAGAACCGGTTCTATGTATGCGCTCTGTTTGCTGCTTTTCATAGCAACCGGTTCTACAGAAGTGGACAGAACCGGTAGAATCCCACCCGTTTACCACATTTTAGTATGGTCTAATGATATAAAGACATTACATTTCAGAGATCAATACTTCCTGAAATTTTGGATATAACATTTGATAAGACTAGAAAACCTCCAAGATCCCTTCCAACCTTATGATTCTATGTTCATAATAGTATTGTCATAACTTTACTACATACTAAAATGAATAGTACTGTAATGATATACTAAATCTAATTATCAGAGAATAAACAAGTATCAACAAGTAGGTTTTGTTATAAGAGGATTATATGCTGATTTAATAGAGAATATTTTTAACATGCTTCAAGTTCAAACTGTCACATCTATAGTAATTATAGTAATGATATATTTCTCTTTATTTATGGGAATAACATCCAAATAAATTACTATTCCCCTTTTGGGTCATGAACCAAGGGTTGGCAAACAGAAGAAATATCCATTGTATCATCCTTATTGCTGCATAAAATGCAATTACCTAAGTAGAAATTGGTGACATCCTCAGCCTGGTCCCAACACATCATACATACTGCCATAAACAGCACATCCTAAAGAACAAAAGTCATGTTGTCTGGAAGCAAGCATGAAATCCAGCCCATCATACCACTGCTCTTTTGCCATCACCAGTGCTAAGAAATATCCAGCCAGTGTGAAGCAACTAATACGTAGTTTGTTCCTTCTACAGTTTGCAGTCATTCAAATCCAAAATATTAAAGTTCTAGTTAACAATAAATATTAATTATTCCACTATTGGAATGCAGAAAATGATTAAAGTTAAGGGGGGATATCAAGGAATATTGGAAACTTTGTAAGGACTTACTTTAGTTCTTTTTTGGTGAGGAGGGAAAGGAAGCTGTTCGACAAGCAGAAATAAAAAAAAATACTCTTTTCTCAATACGGAAGTATTAGCAGTTGAACTTTTAACTGTTCTAAAGTTGATGAAACTGCATTGGCTGCTAGAACAAATAGATGAAGCCCTCCTGAGCCATGAGTCACCTGTAAAGTTACATTCTGAGTGGCCTGTGTGGCAGATGAATATGAAAAGAGGGCAGTGATCAGGTGACATCAGAGTCTGTTCAATATCCAAGTACTTCCCAGAACAATTAGAACTACATACATAAAGAATGATGTAACACGATGGTTAATCAAAAAGGTTGTAAATGTTCCTTCTGTGCCTTTAACAGCCACATACAGTAATTGGATAAAAATCAGGTGGTGAAACTCCATGACTAATTCTTCAGACCTAAAAAACTTGAATTTTTCCTATTTAAGTGAGATCTCTGACAAAAACTATCTGTGTTATCTGAAAGTCTTCTCTGCTTTTCAAAACAGCGATTTGGTTTTCCTTTCAGGTCAGTGGAATCAAGTGTTTTTCTACAAATACAGCCTCTTTTATTTTGAAGGAAAATCTGTCAAACAGTAGTTGGTGGTGTAAATATTATTACAATAGGAATTATTCTCTTGTCCCCCTAAACAGGGATTAAAAATTAAGCAGTGGGGTTATACCAATTCTTGATCCGCGCTGCCTCTGTAGAGTTTACTAATTAAGGAGGTAAGGGTGAATAAGGGAACACAATTTAGTGAGATTATTTTGCTTATTTTAGCAGGTACTGCCAGAGCCAGAATGCATGTTGTTTGTGATCAGAAAAATAGGGTTGTGTAAATCATGATTTACCAACAAAGGCAATGTCACTTAGGCTGAGTTCATGGATGTATTTATGAGTAATACTAAGACTGGCCTTTTAACCATGATGTTTTGAACAAGCCCATGACTTGATCTGCCTGCAATGTTAAGCGACAACAGACCAGTTAGCACGTCCTGCTCAGGCAAAGGGAACCACGTAATTGCTTAATAGTTACGGTGTGTCAATTTAATTGGATTGAGTAAAAAAAAATCACGATTGTGTTAAGCCGCGGTCACGCCAAGTCGGGAGAAGTTAGTTTGCCCAACCATAGTCATCGGGACTACTTCCATAGCTGACTAAAGCGATTCCATTTTTTTTCCCGAGTTCCCACGACACAAACCAAACCATAAACAGGGTTCTTACTATCCCCCCTCCCGCGGGCGGTATTGGGTTTTTTGGCTGGTTCGCCATTCCGAGGCAGCCGCAGCCATCCCTCATTGACTTTTAAGGACAACCCCCAGCAACCACTTGGCTCGAAATTACGACGTCCTCTCCCCCCCCCCCCAAACCCGAGAGAGTTGTCGCGAACAACTCCTTCGCGGGGAGGCACGTAGCCTCCCTTTTGCCGGATCTCTCCTCGGAGGAGTTCGGAGCCACCCCGCGGCGCTGGCAAGAGGGCATTTTTTGCTGCCGCCGCCGCGGATCTTCCCTCCCTCCGCCAGTCTTTCCTTCTAAGAGCCGGAAGTGAGCGCGGATGGTGGCGGCGTCGGCTGCTCCAGCCCTCCTAGCACGGAGAGCCAAAGAGGCGGGGATGCCGAAAGCGAAGAAGGGGGCTTGCCAATAACTTTTGTCCGTGGCGAGGACTATGAGAAATGGCTGCAGGACCTTTGGCGGCGGCGGCGGGTACTTTGGGACGGATGCGCGCTGAGGTGAGGAAGGCTTGGAGGGGGTAGCGAGCCAGCGGGGAAATCTTCCTTTTCTCCCCCCCCCCCCTTTTCCACCAGGCGAGAGGGGGACGCGGGGCGCCTGGCGGGGAGGTTTCTGGGTCGCCTTCTTTGCCCGGTGGGCTGAGGCCTCGCTTCCTCTCGGCTGCTCCCTACGGGAGAAGAGTGGGGATGTTTGGGCTCCTTGGTTTTGGCTCTTTTCTCCTGAATCGGACCTTCCCACCTAACCCGGCCGAGAAGGGCAGGAATGAATCGGGGCTAGGTTGCTGGGCTTGCAGCCCCCGCTGGAAAAGGCCGGTAAACGCCGGCGCCGAGCCATAAAACAGTTGCCTGCTTGGGGGGCTTCAGGTCTGGAAAAAGGGGCAGGAGGGTTGAGTAGTATAACTCGGGGAGCCTTCCTGACAAACTACAAGGAGGGCATTTAAGACGACAGCCCGAACCCTGGCTCCTCGGCCTCGCAAAGCAGGAAATTCTCCGCAGCGGAAGGTTGTTTACAATTTACATGGTACCGAAAACAAGACGGTTGCTTTGCTTCCCTTTGGCGTCTTCGAGGCTGTTTCCACAGCTCTGCGGTTGGTGGGGTCTGTAAATAAATGGGGTGGGCATCCTTGGGAAGATTGAGAGACATAGATTGAAGATTGAGAGGTACTACTGTGTACGTCGTGTATTTTGGGCAGCAGTTGTAAATGGGGCTAATCTTGGCAATGATCAAACCTCGAAGCAGTAATTTTACCTTGAGAAAAGGCCAAAAGACTTCTGTAAATGGACCGGCAATAATAGTTCTTTGGGCTATAGTTTAAAACACCAGCATTGCCCCCCCCCCCAAAAAAAATAACACCCATGTTAGTCTATACATGGTATTTATGCTCTAACAAAACTCACAAAACCGTGTACTGGTATTATTCTCATATATATAGTCATAGAATTGCATGGAACTTTTTTTCATTCCTGTTTTATTACAGTATTTGATACCGTTTTTTGTAAATACAAGGTATATGGGATCGTCATTCATTACTTGTAGGGTCCCAAAGTTAGCACATTTAAGTTTATTTGTCTCAGAGGCTGAAAAAAAAATATTTCTTGGAATGTTGTAATTTAAAAGTATTTTTTGAACTTAAAAATACATTGTTGAAATGCTTCATACTTTTCAGATGTGGGTGATTATTTTGTAATGTGAAAACGCATATGGTTATTTTCAGCTCTCATAGTTACTAGCCTTTTTTATAGGAAGCTATAATATGAATGTATAACTGTACTTCTTGCAGTTGTGTTTTGAATACAAAACTATCCACTACTTGTTACAAGGCTATTGAATTGAGGAAATTGGCAGGGTTTTACTGCAAAAGAATGGAACTAGTTAAACTGCGCTTGCATATGTTAATGTCTTTTTAAGAGCCACAAGAAAGCATCTTTTGCATGCAGTTCTGTCCCTGGTCCCAGTGCACATATAAATACAGAAATACCATTTTTGGAGCATCTTAGCAAAGCTTAATGTATTTTTATATTTAGTATGTACAATGAAAACAAACTACTTCATTGCAACCATAATACTGTATATTTGAAAATGCATTGCTGGTCATTTTAGTTTAAAATCTATAATAAATTAAGCTTTGCTTCTTGTAGAATCAAAACCTATTTTGTCTTCCTTTTACACTTTAGAAAACTGTAAAGGACAAACACAAGTGAAAGTTTTTATACTTGCTTTCAGAGAAGAAAATTAAGATTTTCTCTAGTGCTCAATGAATTTTTACTGTATATCTTACATATCTTTGTACCAGATTCTCCCCCCCCATCCCCTAGGAATTTTGTTCTCCACCCACCACATTCCATTGTCCTTTTGTGGCAGATTTTCATGTCATATCTACTCCTGCCACTTAACTGCTGAAAAATTGAAGGTCTCGCCATGCTATCAGAAAATCACTAGGTTACCATAGTAGGTTGAGGTTGTTATTTGAATGTTCTGATGTCATAAACCTGCCATAGGCTGAATCAGATCACCCGTCTGTTTAATTCTATATTAATTGGCAGTAGCTCTTAAATGTTTGAAAAAAAGAACTATCCCTTCTAGACCTACACATATTTGCCCTAGAATGAATCTTGAATACTCTGCATTCAAACAGCATCCTCCATCATTGGCTTACAGCACCTTGCTGTGTCTTTTTTATTCACGGTGATTTTTGGGTTTACCCCCTAAGTCAGCTTGTCAAAGATTATCATTTTTAAAAAACTTTTTTTCCATTTGCTTCATTGTTCAACACTGATATGCAAACGGTAAAGAGCATGTTGGAAAAATTGAGCTCCATCATCCAAATGAAATAGTATTGTAGAAACAACAAAGAGTTTGAAAGATTAATGTGTCTATTCACACATTAGTTTTGTGGACTATAGCCTGCTGCCTCAGTTGCATAGAGAATGGTCTGAGGAAAAGAGTGATGTATACACACAGCAATTGTATGAAGAGAAGTGAGAAAATGGTGATGGGGATTTGAAAATTTGTATAATTATTAACAAAACTCTAGTTAGAAACAATACACAGGTGTTCTTCCTTTAATTGACTAGCTAATATAATTTAATAACAGCACTATTCAATGTAACGTACCATTTTCCTGAAAATAAGACCTATCCCCAAAATAAGACCTAGCGTGTTTTATGTGTGTGCCTAATATAAGCCCTTCCTCCCCCCCAAATAAGCCCTACGTAAGAGCCTGTGCAGCTGGCTGGCTGCCCATTCTGTCTGGTTTCTCTTATCGTGGCTGTGAGGTGGGGTGGTGAAGCTGCCCCATGCACCCTGCACTGGCTTACCTCAGGGCCCCTTCAGCCAGGCCATCCACACTCTGACACCTGCCTCGCAGCAGCAGCACCAGCAGCCATGTGCACCAGGAGTCCGTGGCCTCTTCTGCTTGCTCATGCCCACGATGGAGTAGAAGGCCAAGTGGTGTGCTGTGGCCACAAGGCAAGGCAGTGTCAGGGCACGGATTGCCTGGCTGCGGGGCCCTGAGGTAAGCCTGTGCGGGGCGAAGAAGTGGACCTCCTGTACGTGGAAAAAAATAAGACACCCCCTGAAAATAAGCCCTGGTGCTTATTTTGGGACCCAACAGAAAATAAGACCTGGTCTTATTTTCAGGGAAACATGGGTAATGACAACCAGTTGTGGTTAAAATATTGAACTACTCTTGTAGAAGGCCAGGATGAAGTCCATTCTCAGCTACAGAATTCATTTGGTGCCCTGGAGTCAGTTTCTCTCACTAGCCCACTGATTTGTTGTTGAGGGACATTGTAGGTGATATACAAGTTTTATTTTATTTGAGCTGGGCGAGTGTGTGTCTTATGTTAAGATTATTCCTTGAAGTCACTGCAACTCTGTTGAGCTAGCAATATTTTTGTTATTTTCATTGGATGAGCATTACATTGTAAGAAATGCTTAATGTAAAATATCTGAAAACATCCTGAGTTCGTGTCAGTATGGTGGCTGGAAAGGTATTTTTATTCAAGACCTTTGTCTGTATTCTGTGAAACTGGGTGTCAGAAACATTTGTGGCATGTACCATCTGATCAGGACTATTCTTATCGTTAGTAGAACATACTGCACGTGGCACTGATTGATTTAGTTAACCTCATCTATAATTTCCATGCCTGCCGGAAAAGCACAATATGAAAGCCTGGATTAACTAAATACAGTGATGAATAGTGGAGGTCAATATCACTGAGCACATTTGATAAAAGCATGGGGAAGACTGTAACTTGCAATGTATTAGGAATGCCACAAATGAACAAGTACAGTGG